CATCCCTTTCAAAGTTATTTAACATTATTCGCTTTATGAAGATGAAACTCAAATCTCAGATCTATTGAAAGTAGGAAACAGTTTTGCCCGGGTGGTTTATATTTATGGAAATGGCTGGGTCTTCTGCATGAGGTGTTTGATTCCGCGGCAGCCTTCAGGAAAAAAAATGCTGACTTCGCCGTCACACTCTTAAAGGCCTTTTTGCTCAACAAACACATTGCAGCAAACAGCATTTTCTGGCACAGAGAATGGGTTGGGCAATCTTTAAGGAAGTGCATTTCTTTATTGCACATGTTAAGGCTTTCACTCCATTTTAACTTTTATGAGCATGACAAAGAACAAAGAGCGAGGGTTTAAACGCTCGCGATCTGCTAGCTGTGCCGTTTATCCTCAGTCAATTTCACACCACTTGCAAAACACCACCGGGATATTTCTTTCGAAAGCATCAGATCCCTTTAAGATATTCTGGGAGTTTTACATTAAAAACATGCCAAATTTCAAAATTATAGAAGCGCAACCCTCCTTATATTCCGTAACACGTTCATTATTTTTCGAGGTCATGAAAATGGCTCAGAGTGATAGGAGAACTTGTGGCAGATCTCATGACTGGCAGGTAATGGGTGAAGTGAGTTGAATCTTCTTCACACCAGCCACTCCATACCACGACTTCCATTCTCAGATTTTTATTGTTTTGCCAAGCTCAAGCACTTGGAAAGAAAATAGTGGCCTTGGTTCATCAACATACTAAACCACGGTGATTAATTTTGCTTGGTATGTTATGTGAAGCAGGGTTAAGGTTGTCTTCCAACCACTGAAGTTTGTAAATCATCATTTATAGCTTAGTATACTGTGCAAATTGTGGTTTATTTTTGCTTACACCATTAGCTTCTTGAAGTACGCTATCGATTAACCATATTGTAGGTGGTCTACTGACCATAGTTTGGGAATTAATGCACTAAGTCATAATGTGCTTTGGTTTTTGACTTAACTGGTATGTGATCCCATTCATTAAGGCTTAGCAATGATTTGTGAACCATGGCTTATTAAACCAATACATAAAAGCCTTGCTTAGAGTAATATGTTACTCAACTTTTCATCAGTTGAAATCTTGAATCTCTGGGAGAGGACCAAAACTTTTCCACCTCTGGTGAAAAAAATCCTGTTTTTTTCCCTTGCAACTTAGCGTCCTCCATTTTATCCCCTGTTCAAATGAATTGATTCTTAAGCCAGTTTACTCCACTGGACTTAGGCAACTGTAGAGAATGGCCACCCATACGTTGTGCTAAGCCAGGATTTCATTCTGTGGCATTCCAGATGAACTAGAATTCCCGGCATCCCTAGGAAGTATGGCCAGTGGTGAGATATGCCTGGGACCTGTACTTCCATAGCATCTGGAATGCCATCCATTGCCTATCTCCATGCTAAACCTCTCTTTAATCTCTTTTACTCAGCTAGCCCCCATGGCCTAGTTCACACACAATAATATACTTAAAACCACAATTTACAAAACAGAACTATTTGGTTAATATATTATGCTAAGCCCAGACCCATATAGCCCAGCAGTATGTATGAACCCAGCCGCACAATACATCAGAGCGGTGTTGCTGACTGGGGCCACCACTAGCCCTAGTGAAATCTAGACCACCACTAGAAGGTACTAGATATTTAGACTTTTCTGGGTTCTAATGTCCCTTAGGACAGAGGGAGAAGGAGAGCCACACAGCTGCTTCTTCCCTGCTGCCTCAGCAGGTCTGACCCCATGAGGGTCTCCTCTTCCCTCCTCAGTTACCCAGAGTGTTTCTTCCCCCTCCTGTTGAAGTGTTAAGACTTCTGCCTTTTGGTTACAATGGCTGATCCGGGAACAGCAGCAGGAGAAGCAGCTCCTTCTCATTCATTCAGTCTCTCCTTCCTTCCCTGCTCCCCTTCTCTGCTATCATGTCTGGGGCGTAAAAAATCAGATGACTACTAGAAGTGGTAGCAAAGAAGAAAATAAACTCTCCTTGTTGCCGTCTTGAGCTCACCCAGATTTTTGCAGCCCATATAAACGGCAGCCCCATTTCTGACCTACATGGTTTAGGTACTCCGGAATGCATAGCACTGGATATACACAGATTTCTTTTTAAGGAAAGCATGTCTGCAGTGATCCACATTATCTGAAACACCCAAGTTTCATAATAATACCCTTGCATGCCCTCCTCAAAGAAGCTGATTGTCAAAAAAGAGAGGATGGACTCACAGTAGCTGTGTTCACACGGCACATATAACTTGGTAGCAGAATTAACTAATTGTGTGGGTCCATGCAAGACCTTGAATCATAAACTAAATGACGAGGTTAAGTTGCACAATGTGCAGTCACATACTGAAACATGCACAAAAAAACAAGTACAGGTAGTCCCCAGTTTAAGAACGAGTTCCTCTCCCAAGGTCTGTCCTTAAGTCGAATTTGTACATAAGCCAGAACAGTATTATTGTATCATACTGTATAAGTAGCATTGCGTGATTAACTCAAACTGTTGTGTATTTAACTCAAATCATTGTGTATTTAACTCAGATTTTGCTACAATAGACTCCATTCTATGAGTCATCCTTAAACCAGGTGTAACCAAGATTAAAACCAGGACCACCTGTAACCAAGATTAAAACCAGGCTTAGCCTTTTTTATGAATGCAGCCACTAAATTTGTAACTAACCTGGCTAACATGTTTATGAACACAACCAGAGAGTATCTACTACAGAACTACATGAAAATGTAATGACAGTTTTCTCAGTGACATCACCATTACCTTCAGGTTTCTTTCTACATCAGTTCTAAATTATGGGTGTTGTTATATTTCCTGCTTGGAATTCTAGAAAGCACAACAAGGACCATACAGGTAGTCCTTATTTAGTGACCACAATTGGGACCAGCAACTCAGTCATTAAGCAAAGTGGTCACTAAGTGAAACTGCAACTGTGTCTGTGATCTTACTTCAGCTTTCCTTTGCTTTACAGACCTGCGAAGGTTGTAAATGCGAGGATTGGTTGCAAAGTTACTTTTTCATCACCGGTGTAACTGCAAATGGTCACTAAACAAGGCAATGACTAAACAAGGACTGCCTGTAGAAGACTGCAGGTCCCTGTGCCTTGACTCTGTCTCTGTGTCTATACAAACCACTATACAAACCAGATGCACACCCTTAAATTATTTCATCATCTCACATTTGTCAATGGAGATTCATTGGAAGTTTTCCAGGTAAGAGTGAAATGGACAAATATTAATGTTTACCAGGAGCTCAGATCTAACAGGTGTGCATATATCTTAGTTACAAAAATTCAATTTACACACTGGGGAAGTTTGTTTAGATATTGTTAGGGCTTGAACAGAGTGCTATGGTTGATAGCAATGGAAGAGAAGGTGGTGGCAGTGATACATTTGAGGTATTCCCTTCCCCAAAATGTGCATTTGTTCTACTGCATGTAAGAACAATTCTCTTTAAACAAGCACTGCTGTTGCTTAATTTTATTCACTGCCTGTTAGTTTTGGCACTCTGAATTTTTGTTTTTAGCTTGTAAAAGGGCATTTAATTACTGGTTCTTGTTTTTTTGTTTTTCATCTTCCAAAAGCCATTCTAAGCCACTCTTTTTGGAGGGGGAAAGAGGCCATACATTCCCTCAGTAAATTATGCATACACTTTTCACATAAAGCATATAACAGACTGCTCTAGATCTGCTCTTGTAATGTGAAAGATATTCAAAAGTACCCTGCTTGAACATTAAACACCTGATTATAGAAACAGTTTATACCGTTTCTAATTTCTAAAATTCTATTTTAATTTCTGTTTGGAATTGCTATTTTTATTTTCAGCTTTTTGTTGCTTATTTCATTAGAGTGAAAATCCAGTTTCCCCGCCCTCCATCAACAGAAATGTAGCAACGTCGGATGTATTGCTCAAAATAATATCAATAGAAAGTGAGTAAACACTGCTAAGCCTTTCTTTTCCAAGAAAGAAAGAAATTGCAGTTGGAGGTGGCTCATTAAGTGGAGCTTCTTTCATTTCTACTAATGGCTACAAATGCTCATTATCAATTACTGAACTCCGAATGAGCAAACAAAGCAGGGCTAATGCATCACAAAAGAGAGTTTGTTTGGCTGTTTTGACAGCTGTAGTTTGAATCATAGTACAAGAGCTCCAAATGGTATCCCATAATCTACACTGTTGCAACAGCAGTTAAATGGGATCAGAGCCAGCCTTAAACTGATATTCTCTCTCTGCTCAGAAGCAGGTAAGTGAAAGTTATTGTTGTGTGAAAAGGATCAGCTTATCAAAACTGGATCCTGACCCAGCTTGATCTGCTGCTAAAAGGCTGCCTTAGTGCCATGGTCTGGAGTCCCTCCTATTACACCAAAACCAGCTGGCCAAGGTAATGTGCTAGGGCCTCTGAGTATCCAAGTGTAATGCATAGGGCTACTCTACCTGGACTGCCAAAATCCAGAGGACCGCTAGATTGAAGCACTTAGTTTTCTGTATCTCTTTTCTGTCCTCTAGTGATCATCTGGAGTTTTGCAGCCCAGATGTAATAGCCCTAGTGATGCCTCAATTGCTTTTCCTGTTTTTCTCTGGCTTCTAATCCCTCCCAAAGCCATAATAGGTTCAGAATTAATGCCAGATTAAGTTAAACTTCTCTTTCCTATAATTCATGCATTTTTCCTGGGCAAGCCATTAACACTGGATAAAGAAAGATGAAATAATAATTTCCCAATGCCTGATGAATAGGCATCGTTAAGGGCTGGGGATTTTTAGGATTTTATGGTAGTGAAAGAACTGATTGGTGGTGAACATGTAATGGAAAAATGACAAATTGATCCTCTGGGTTTTAGAAGAAGACATGGTGGACTTGAGTTGGAATATAAAGATACATTGGAAATGTCTGGCAATTTGTCTGGAACCATTAACCTGAAACCTTTTATATGGTTGTGTAATTATAGAATGGAAAATTTGCAGTGACCTTATCAGTGTCCACAGGGTTTCACCATTTGGTACAACATTCCTTTCCCACTTCTGAAGGACTTTGAGAGAGCAACCTGGTATGTCATCTGCAGAAGTAAATAATCAGACTGGCAAAACTGTGAAATTTATTTTAATTTGGAGTACTTGGTTGTGATGCCCAAAAGGGCACCCACGGTAATAAAATCATCATTGTCTGGAATTTAGTAAGACTCCACAGCCTGATCTCAACAGAAGCTACCCAGACACTCAACAAGAGAAGGCTAGATAGGAGTCTGTATTGAATAATAGGATGAAGCCACTTTAAACACTCAATTGTCCTCTGCCAATATAACAGCACAGACCCCTCCTGAACCCACTGTGGTTCAATCCCCAGCACTTCTTTGTCCCACCTTTCCTGCAGCTGAACAGACATCTTGCTTTGCACTTCTCAGGCTTGACACTAGGGGCTGTGCATGGGTAACATAATTGATATTTCTGCTCTGAGAAACTGAAGGTCTCAATTTACAAGTTAACCCCCACATCAGAGAAGCTCTTCTAGATGTAGACATGAGGATTCAGAAACAGCATGGACATTCTTAAGATGAGGCAGTATCATTCCTATACCTTTCCTTCTTCCCCATTTACAGTCATAAGATTGGTTAGCCTACGTATTTCACTTTGCTCATACTTGAAAGTTTTGTAGCTCTATTTGTGATCTCATTTGCTAGTCATTTTCTCCCCCTGCCCCCGTTCCCAATTTCTTTTGGTCTTTCGAATAGATAATATGCCTGTAGGCAGCGCCTTGTTATATCAACTGTGTAGTGCCTAGGTCTTTTCGGCACATTAAAAAAATGCTTTGGCTTTTCATCCTAACATAAGCCTGATGCAGTGCCAGCCAGCCTAGAGGATGCCTGAAGCTTTGTAGTCAACACAGAGAGTCTAAGCAGTACCTTCATTTGCAAAATGGAAACACTGTGTTCTTTACTATCTCCTGAGTAGCTTCTTTCACCCAACATTATTTTGATAGATAGATGATAGACAGACAGACAGACCAGAATTCTGAAGTTCACTCACATTACCAATTTATCCCATTCTGTGTTTACTTCACATACATCTAACCTACTCCTCACAACTAGTTCACCTGGTGCTCTTTCTGGTTTTTTTCCCCCCATTCTGAAAGCTTTTTATTCCATTACATAATTGGGATATGGTAGTTATAGAAAGAAAAGGAACGAACTATCTTAGAGGTGGACCTGGTTAAACCAAACCATTCCACGTTATAACATTGTGGAGATCTTCAAAAACATAGCTGATTGCCTTCTTGAAGATAGGTACACCTAAAGCAGGTCATTTATTTTAATCAGAATTAAAAGTGTAGGATAATTCAGGGCTGGGAAACTAGGGGGGTTTTTTGTTTTTGTTTATCAATAGCTAAATTCCTTCAAGAGAATCTGTTGTGGGCCACATGATAATGATGATTTGAGTCAAAGCCAATTTTGGTGAGTCCAAAGCAAAATATGAACAGGTTAATCTCTTCTTCCAACTCATTTCCTATCTCTCTCCCTCTGATCTTTCTCCACACCCACTGTATTGCTAGGAAAGAGACAGTAATCTAAACTGACTGCTTATAAAGAGATGTTGAAATTAGACTGAGGAGTTAATTTATAGCTCTAATCCCTAAACAGGATAAGTCCCAGTGATACAAAAGTCTTTCCCTTTCTAAGGAATGCCTCTATTTTACTTGGGGTCACAGCCAAGACTAAGAATTACACCTTGCCTTCAAGCAGCATTGAGTCTAGCTCTGCTTCCCATCCTTGAATCATCACCAGAAATGTTAAACTGAAAAAAGCTCAAAGTACAATAAGTGGGGGGGGGGGGGAGAGAAAAGGGGAGGCGGTTGGGGAGGGGAATCAAATCAACTCCTTCTTTGATTAGGGAGTCATTTCTAGATTATTGAAGAACACACAAAGGGTGTTGTCTCATGTTACACCATATAACTGACATTGAAAAAAACATATAAAAAATAAAAAAAAAAAAATTAAAAAAAAAAAAAAGTGGGGGGGGGGGGGAGAGAAAAGGGGAGGCGGTTGGGGAGGGGAATCAAATCAACTCCTTCTTTGATTAGGGAGTCATTTCTAGATTATTGAAGAACACACAAAGGGTGTTGTCTCATGTTACACCATATAACTGACATTGAACTGAACATCTTGTACTTAAAAAGTTGGCCTTCTTGGATTGAAAAGTGCATCTGACTTGCCAGTGCATGTGGACGCACCCAACTGCACCTCTTTTTGAAACTACTTTTTGGAAAAGGAAGGAATGCTTCAGAAAACCTGCTTACTACTTTGAAACACTAGAATTGTTTAAAGCTATCATGGGCCAGCATTAACCCAGGAGATCTTTCTTCCTCCTCCATGTTAACAGCCTTCCCAAGTTCTGGAGATGCAGATTATATGCACAAACTATTCCAAGACATTTTTGCTTCTTGAGATGGAACATCAAATGTATTTCATCATGACTGTCCAACATTAAGTACACAAATTGATCCAGTCATTCTGTCACATGGAAGAAAACCCCGTAAGTTTTTCTCTTAGTAAAAATGTAGCCATCAGTCAAACAGCTGGGAATCGACTGCCTCTTTTTTTAATAATAACAATTTTTATTAAAGTTTAAAAATACAAAGATAAAAACTAATACAAACTAAGAAAATATAAAAAAAGTAAAAGGAGAAAATAAAAAGTACAGAGAAAAAGAAAAAGAAAAATATACAAAGAAAAGAAGATATATAAAAGAAATTACTTCTCCAATCATCAAGACAAGTACAAACAATTTCAGTAACATCACCTTCTCTGATACTACAAGAGATCTCTTCTTCCCATATCTCATTTCTTATCTATAAGCAAATTATAAAGCCTCATCATTCAGTCCTAATCAGCAAACATCCATTAAGAGTTACCAGAAATAACAACATAT